AGGTAGTGCAGAGGGGGGACGTGGGATTGGTTGCTGGCGGTAGCTGGAGATTGTTGGTGGCTATTGGTCATGTTATTTTTGGCTGTGGAAGGGCTGGTTTGATTTGGCGTTGCTGTATTTGTGCAGGTGATTTGCTGATTCTGCCAGCAAGAGAACAGCTGATAGGCGGCTTGTTAGACAAGCACAACTGGCAGCATTGGTCCAGCGGTTGAGCAATTTTCGTTAACAATTTCCCCTAAAAAAAGCTCAACCGCTCTGCCCCCCATCCAAAAACCTCAAGAAATCAGGGCAATCTCCCCCCCCCCATTTTCTCAATTTGGTGTCCCCCAAAATAGGGGATGTCCTATACACGAGGGCATCCAATACACAGAAAAATAGGGTACATGTTTCTGTTAAAGTTCAGCAGACAGACTTCTGCAAAAGGAATGGCAACTTTCTTGAAGTCTTGGCTGTCAGAATAAGTAATCCTGCAGCTTTATTATTAGTATTTTACATTTCACAAACGTAGGTAAAATAAAACAAAACTTGAAAATCAACTCCTGTTTCGGATTATAATTTCTCAGTGATGTGCTCCTATATAAAGTTACCTGTGAGTAACTCCTGATGAACTCAGTGGAACTTACGTACTTCTGAGGGGGGGGGTAAAATCTAGTTCACATTCAAAGGTGAACCTACCTAATCCACACTTTCCAAAACAATATGCAAGCTTAAATAAAGCAATTCTGCAAAATTCAGCGTTCGCCAACTTTTGCAATAAAGTTCTCCGGTGACGTAATGTATACAAAAATGCATATACTTGGGTAAACTGTGCATGAAAAACTTACACTACTGTTTTTTGTTCAGTAATTTTATTTGCAAAAATGTGTATATTAAGGGAACTTGCATACAAATGTGTATAGTAGAAATTTTAAACAAAATTCAAAAATGGTGAATTTGCATGAGGACTTAAGAAAAATTACGAACGGATTTGTGGATAGATCAAAAACTGAATTTAAAATTGGGGAAATGAGGAACTGACAACAGATTCACACATCCCTACTTCTGATTATAGGATTGCATGGTAAAACTGCCATTCTAAACACACTTAAAATCCAGATAAAGGGGGCTAGGGTTCCACACTTCCCAAGGAATATATCCCACTGAAAACAGTGGGAGTTACTTCTTACATGTCGGACTTCCTCATATGTTTCTTGTGCCTTCTGTAAGTCATCCCCTCAGTGTTCTTGCTTCATGCAGTCATAGCTCATCACTCTTGACAGAGGCAGGAGCTCACCCTTGGCTTATTTGCCTTAGGATCTCATCAGTGACACCCAGGGGAAGTTAGGGGTTGGTTTCCATATCATAATGTGACTTTTGTTTCTGGTGAAGCTGTTAGGGTTCCAAGGGGTTGCTCGAGAGTAAGCAGGCAAATGCCTCCCTGCTCGGCTGTGAAGCCTTGCTTTTGTTTGTTTTTTAAAATTTTTTTATTAATTTTCAAACACAAAATAAACACAAACAATAAACAATACATAAACAAACAAACATTAAACATGTATAATTTTCATAACCTTCTTTTCATAAACCTTGCTTCCCGGACTTCCCCATACCTCCCCTTTTCTGCATCCTTGTTTTTACATTTCTTCAGCAACTCCCTCAGTTAAACAATTAATCAGTTCATTTTCTTTTAGGTTCTTCTCTAGCTTATCAAATACAGCTACAATTCTCTATTTCCCAATCCCTTGACATTTTAACACTCATCAATTTTACAACAATTTTTGAGATACATTTTAAATTTCTTCCAGTCTTCTTCCACCGCCTCTTTCCCTTGGTCGCGGATTCTGCCAGTCATCTCCGCCAGTCCCATATAGTCAATCACCTTCGTCTGCCATTCTTCCAGCGTGGGTAGTTCTTGTGTCTTCCAATACTTTGCTAAGAGAATCCTTGCTGCTGTAGTGGCATACATAAAAAACGTCCTATCCTTCCTTAACACCAATTGGCCAACCATGCCCAGGAGAAAAGCCTCAGGTTTTTTAGGAAAGGTCCATTTAAGGACCTTCTTAATTTCATTATAGATCATTTCCCAAAAGGCTTTTATCTTCGGGCAGGTCCACCAAAGGTGATAAAAGGTACCTTCAGTCTCATTACATTTCCAGCATTTGTTATTGGGCAAATGATAGATTTTTGCAAGCTTGACTGGTGTCATGTACCACCTATAAATCATTTTCATAATGTTTTCTCTTAAGGCATTACATGCCGTAAACTTAACACCGGTGGTCCATAACTGTTCCCAGTCAGCAAACATAATGTCATGACCAATGTCTTGTGCCCATTTAATCATAGCTGATTTCACCGTTTCATCCTGTGTGTTCCATTTCAGCAGCAAATTATACATTCTTGACAAATTCTTAGTATTGGGTTCTAACAGTTCTGTTTCTAGTTTTGACCTCTCCGTCTGGAAGCCTATTTTCCTGTCCTGTTTAAATACCTCATTTATCTGAAGATAATGAAGCCAATCTCGTACTTTAGGCTTTAATTTCTCATAGCTCTGTAGTTTAACTGTTTCACCATCTTGCTCTAAAATTTCCCAATATTTTGGCCATTTAGACCCCATATTGAGTTTTTTCACTTCCTTGGCTTCCACTGGTGACAACCACCTGGGAGTTTTACTTTCCAATAAATCTTTATACCGCATCCATACATTATATAATGCTTTCCTGACAATATGGTTTTTAAAACCTTTATGGATTTTTACCTTGTCATACCATATATATGCATGCCAACCAAATCTATTGTCAAACCCTTCCAAATCTAAAATGTCCGTGTTCTCAAGAAGTAGCCAGTCCTTCAACCAGCAAAAAGCTGCCGATTCATAGTATAGTCTTAAGTCCGGCAGGGCAAACCCCCCTCTATCTTTTGCATCAGTTAGTATCTTAAATTTTATTCTGGGCTTTTTGCCCTGCCAGACAAATTTAGATATATCTTTCTGCCACTTCTTGAAACAATCCATCTTATCCACAATCTGCAATGTCTGGAACAAAAATAGCATTCTCGGCAATACATTCATCTTGATGACAGCAATTCGGCCTAACAAGGAAAGTCTCAACCTTGACCATATTTCTAGATCTTTCTTTACTTCTGTCCAGCATTTATCATAGTTGTCTTTAAATAAGTTCACATTCTTAGGTGTTAGGTTAATTCCCAAGTATTTCACTTTCTTTGCTACCACTAAACCTGTTTCACTCTGAAATCTCTCTTTTTCAGCATTTGTTAGATTTTTCTCCAAAACTTTAGTTTTCTGTTTGTTCAATTTAAATCCTGCTACCTGACCAAATATTTCAATTAATTCTAAAACTCTTTTTGTACTAGTGTCTGGCTGTTGCAAAGTCAGTACTAGGTCATCTGCAAATGCCCTCAGTTTGTATTGTCTGGCTCCGACCTGGACTCCTTTAACCAGCTGGTCCCCTCTAATCATGTGAAGCCTTGCTTTTGATACCAAAATAAACTTTATCTATCCAGAGCACCACTCTCCTGTGGCTGGCTCATTCACTGGCAGAATCCGTGAGTGGGCGGTCCTTAAACCTTCCCCAGCAAAGTAGTTTCTTGACGCCCAGTCTGCGCCTCCCCTCTCGGCACAAAAGCTTACTGCGCAAGGAGGGCGTGGGTAACGGAGGACCTCTACCCTCCCCGCTTTGCCCAGGCAAGGTGTCCTGGCACCGCCTCACCTCCTCCGAGCCCTGAAACTCCTCTCCACTGGAGGCGTGGTTACTCTCCTCCGCTGAGGAGGAGCTGCTCCCCACGATCTATGGGGGCTCTCTGTAATCCATCCGGCTTTTCCCCTCTCCCCCCTTAGCTGATGGCAGTTCCCTGACAAAAGCCATGTATCAACCTCTGGTAGTTTCACTGGAGATAATGTACATGCAGATTCTGCTAGCCCAGCATTCATTGTAAGAAAGTTCACTTACCCAAAGACAAGGAATTAGTACCCACTATATTCACCACAGATTCAGATATCCAAACCTGTGCGTAGCATGGTAAAGAAATAAGCAGCCTTCGACAAGCCTTACTTTTTGTGTTTTGCTGGTCTGTGGCAGCTGTTTTGCCAGAAACCATGGTGGGAGGGAAGGTTAGAAATCAGACAAATAAAAGGTCATTTTTTCCTTCCTTGTTTGCCTTTTGCATAGATTCTCTCCCCCCCCCCCCCCCGTCATTTTGGGATAAAATCCTGCAGTTGGGAATGCGTTACAATACTCCCCATAGGAATAAATGGAAATTGTCGACTTGTTACGTGAACGCTTGCCTAACAATTTCTTGAGAACACACGGCAGTTGGATAGCAAGACCTGGAAGTACTGTACTCATAGCGAGTCTATTACACAAAAGGCATCCCATCAGCAACTGGACAGGAGTGAAGACTGGTGTGTTCTAGAGGTTTGAGAGGACCAGGTGGGGATCTGCACCATCTTGCAGTGCCCTTTTCACCCCCATCCACCCCCGCATCTTCCATTAAGCTAGGCCATTAGATGGAGTACAGGGTAGGGATTGTGTGAGTCATTATGGTCCCCCATTCTCTGGCAAATTGATGCACGCTGTTACTTGCAAAAAGGAACGTGGCCAGGAACAACCTCCCTGGGGATTGGGCGAAACCTGCTTTCAGCTTTGCCGTTACAGTGGAGACAGCATGTGTTAAAAGAAAACACACCTGTAAAAAAAATAAAGAACAACTATTCCATTCCTGATTCCATTCCTGACCTGTTTATTTAGCAGAAGGTACCCAAACCATATTACACATTCAGTGGCGTAGCGTGGGTTGTCAGCACCCGGGGCAAGGCAAGTAATTTGCGCCCCCTAACACGTGGATTTGCGCCCCCTAACCCATGGATTTGCGCCCCCTAACCTGTGGATTTGCCCTAACCCCAGATGTTGCGCCCGGTGCGGCCGGGGCCCCCTGCACCCCCCACGCTACGCCACTGGACACATTAGAATGTGAGGGTGGAGAACAGAGGAGCAACTATCTGGGATTCTTCAGTCCCAAGGGAAGGTCATATTCACACCACGCATGTTCTCCTGATAAACACGGACAAAGTATTCCCTCTGTGCTAATGTCAAGCGGTTCTTCCAGTCCCCAGAAATCCCTGGAACAACACAAGAGCAAGTGGCAACCGCAAAGAAGTCCAACTGAGATTACTTCATTTCTTCCTCAGTCTCAGTCATGAGGCAGCCTCCTCAGGTGGCTGATGTTAGGGGAAAGCACATGCCTCCTGACTGTTTGCCCTGATTGTGGGAATGTTCTGGGGTGCAGGAAAGGATATATTGACTAATTATATCCTGATCCAACTTGTGCTAACAAGTTCCCAAAATATCAGCAGAGTTTACATACATTCCCCTTTAGTACGCAACGGTAACGTGTGCACAGGTTCGCTAGAACCTCTATAATAATTACCCTGGTAATTTCCCCTTTAGTTCCCTCTTAAAATACAAGACACGACACAGTCTTCATAAAAGTATAAAAGAGTTTACTCACGTCCTGTTCACAATGTGATCCCAGACGGCAGACAGGCTTAAAAAGGTTACATAGATTTAGAATCTATCTCATAGCAAGATAGGCCTTATCTCCTCTCTTGGCTGGGAGCCAAGAGAGCATCCTTAGATGTTTCTTCATCGAAGTAAAATGGCAGAGAGAGAGAGATGGCTGCCTGCCCTGTGCTTTTTGTCATCACCTGCACAGGTGAGGCCACACCCACCTCTAGTCACATGTGGAGGAAGTCCGTCCCCAGGAAGTTTACCTGCTTGCTGGACAGACATCCCCACCATGTTCTAACATGTACACTCTAGGAATGTTGTCATTGACTGCTCCTGTGTTTACATCCCACACTGATCCCCTGCAACTATTCCACCTTCCTGATTTGGAACTCCAGCCGCACTAATGCAGGCATGTTGGGGACCTGGAACAGCTGGTTGTCTCCTCCACCTACCTTTTCCTGTTGAATCACAGAGAGTTCCATGAGGAAAGGCAGCTGACCGAGTAGGCAGTCTCATACACTCATGAACGGTGTTCTCTCAGTGTCTGGCCCTAAAAGCCTGTTGCCCACAAGTAAAATGGAAGACACTGTTGCTTTGCTATTTAGAAGTAAGATGCAGCAGCGACTCCCATCAGCATCTGGATGTGGAATGAAGAATTGTGACTTTCTCCATCACATCAGGCAGGAAAACGCAGTGAGTCATGTTTGCTCTCCCACACTGCCACTCCTTGGCAAACAAACATGACAATTGCTGTGCTATTCCTACCTCCCACCCATTTTAACCACTTTGGTGGTTTTTTCTATAATTCAGTGTTACATAAATTTTATGAAATAAATAATAAATGATGATAATGTGCAAAACAGTTCAGTTTAAGTTACTTCTGTTGCTTTAGAGAAGGGGAACAGACTTTGTGGCCATGAAGACTAGGATTGAGGGAAGTATGCATTTAGATATGGGGAAAGCTTTACCTGCTGAATTTCTGCTTGCTTTCCAAATAGATGCTAAGGGCACAGAATCTGCCAACTCTAGCATAAACAACCCCAAGGCGACCACTGTGTCTTGATGGCCTTGAGAATATGTGTCCCTCAGCCTGTTTTCAGGCAGTCCTCAGTATCAGCCAGCTGTTAAAATCTTGCAGGCACACCTTGTTCTAAGAATAATTTCTTGCTTTGATTTGTATGTTGATGCATTAAAGGTAAACATAATGTAAGATGTTGCTCAAAGAGAAAGGTGTGCAATTCTGCCAACTGTCCCCATTTTGGCTCTGGCTCCACCACTTGCTGTAGTTGCTGATTGATTTTTCTGTGAGTCAACAGCCATCCACAGAAAAAGAACAGGTTCTTCACCCCTGGCATGCAGCATTACGACCTTATTCCTTGGCGCTGTATGGCAACCAAAGTTATTACCTTTCCTCAGGAGCTTTCCCTTTGTGTGGTCAAAAATGTTGTCTGGTATCAAGGAAAAGTTGGACATCTTATTGTCCTTCATTTTGTGGAAGGAGGCGTTTTCCACCACAGACTCAATTTGCTGGCTGTTCAGCTCCTTGCCAAGAAAACGACAGATCCTCTGCATGCTGCCTCGAAGGTCCTGCAGAAGGGAAAAGTAAAGGAATTATAGGAAGCCTTAGAGCCTTATATGATGTACAGAGCTTGCCCTTGATCAAGAGGCACACAAAAGGCATTCATTCCAGTTTGCAGTGCACATTTGGCAAGGTTGATACCATGAGGTTGTGGAATTTGCTGCTATCACTGTGCAGAAGCCATCCTGTCTCAGGCTGCCAATACAATATTTCAAAACAAAATAATCTGGTAGTGTGTGGACACAGTGAAGCTTGGACCTGTACCTGCTGCAGTTCTTCATAAGTGATGAAGAAGATGTTGGCTCTATCCTTCATCTCCATCCAGCCTTTCACGTGGTCAAACCAGGAACCAAAAAGTACTGGAGAAGCAAAGAGGAAGCAGTGGTGAGATGAAAAGAGGTGCCAGGGAAATGGAAAGAATGCTATTGAAGATGTAGAGGAAACACCAACGTGGAACCTAATGTTGCTTCCATTCTAACCCATTTGTTAAGGGCATTTATTAATTTTCTTTAAAAAGAAATGACTATCGTAAGACTTAAACCAGTTTCTCCATGTAGCCAACTACGAATTATACTTCTCTGATAAGGCTATAGGATTAGCTAAGAAGAGAGCCTTTCTGGTAGTGGACATTGTGCTGGATCAGAGCAGATGAGACTGGCTGATGTGCCTCCTTTCATACCTTCCCCACTCAGGAACCTCTCCAGGTACACTTCCATTGTTCCAGAATCCTTCAGATCTTTAAAGCCTTGGAAGAAGTGGTAGCCTGAAACCATCGCATCTCTGGGGTTGCACATTGTGTAGACTACCTGTAAAAGAGGCAGAGCCACATTTAGGGAGAGCCCGGGAAGCACTAACATTAGGAATAGTGGGACAGCCACCATAGGCACCCTGAGCACTGTCTCCTGAAAGGCATGTTTAATTTACTGTTGTTACATGTATCCCCAAAGATGTGCTCTACGGGGAGCTGGAAGGAACTTTGCATTAGGGTCAGGAAGAAGGGTCTGGTACTGGAGTGCAGGTGCATGTCTGGTGCCCTAGAAGAATTATGCAAAAGACTGAACAAATCATGTTGCTTAACAGGTCCAGGAACCTAGGCTGGGGCTTTCTCAGGGGCCTCAAACTCTTCTTCAGTGAGGTTTTCTAAGCATATGGGTAATCATGGCAAAGGACCATGCATGTGGGCCATGACCAATTCAAGTTCTCCTGCAAGCATGCAACTGCTAAGGAGATATCCAGTATTCCTCCCAATGCTGTAGTGCAAAATATGGCATCCTCTGGTAAATGGGCTGTGTCAAGCGTCTGTGCTCCAGAGTCCCCCCACATCTGTGTGGCAGAAAGGCATCAGTCAAAGGCAGGCTTGCTGTGTCAACTGTTCCTCTTTTACCTTGGCTTTGGAGTGGAGGAAGGACTTGGGGGAAAGCTGGAATGGCAGGTGAGTAGACAGGAGCCTGGGGGGAGAATATTTCAAGGCCTCCTTCAGCCCATCAGCAGTCTCGATCCAGGGTGCCCTATCCCACACTAGTGCGTTCTGAACCCATGAGGGGTCCCCATGACTCCGGATTAAGGCCAACACTTCTGACATCCAGTGGGTACCTAGGAGGAAGTTCACCAGTCAGTCTTTTTCCATAAATCCACTTGGGTTTGCAGTGCACACCTTTCAATGTTCTGGTTCCCTGTTTTCTTCCTCTGCCCACTAGTGAATGCCTGGTCCTCATGAAACCAATTACTGGATTATAAAAATTGGTACTACACTCAATATGCCAGCAAGTTTGGAAAACTCAGCAGTGGCCAAAGGATTGGGGAAGATCAGTCTACATCCCAATCCCAAAGAAGGGCCAAAGAATGCTCCAACTACCGCACAATTGCGCTCATTTCACACGCTAGCAAGGTTATGCTCAAAATTCTACAAGGCAGGCTTAAGCAGTATGTGGTTTTCCCAGTAGTGATGTATGGTAGTGAGAGCAGGACCATAAAAAAGGCTGATCGCCAAAGAATTGATGCTTTTGATTTGAGGTGCTGGAGGAGACTCTTGAGAGTCCCATGGACTGCACGAAGATCAAACCGATCCATTATGAAGGAAATCAATCCTGAATGCTCACTGGAAGTTCCTGAAGCTGAGGCTCCAATACTTTGGCCACATCGTGAGAAGTGAAGACTCCCTGGAAAAGACCCTGATGTTGGGAAAGATGGAGGGCACAAGGAGAAGGGGACGACAGAGGACGAGATGGTTGGACAGTGTGCTTGAAGCTACCAACATGAGTTTGACCAAACTGCGGGAGGCAGTGGAAGACAGGAGTGCCTGGCGTGCTCTGTTGCATGGGGTGACAAAGAGTCCGACACAACCAAACAACTAAACAACAAGAAGAAGAATTGGAACGGATCTTTGCCCACAGCTTGCTCCTCAGCACCCTTCTATGGGACAGAATTTCCAAAATTCAGGACTGCTGCATCTTAGTGAAGTTGAAACAATTTGGAAGTTCTGACACGAAATGTTTGTGGGCTTTTTTCAGGACCAGGTGGTTGTGTTTTAGGCTCTGTGGATCTAGGAAAGCCTGGACTACTTCATTTACTTCTTACATTCTTATCACTCATTTTTTACTTCAACTTACATAATTCAACTTTTGCATGACTTGAATTTTTTAACTTTCCAAATGTTCCTTTTTCAGATGCCTATTTTTTTTTATTTTTATTTTTTTGGTAACTCTCCATTTTGGACCTGGCTGCCCATTAAAAGAAACAAAAAACTTGTGAGAAATGCAAACATTATTAATGTAGGCCACATAAAAACACCTTGTAGTTATGACAAACTGTTAACTTTTCTTTGTCCTTATGTTCAACGACCATCATTAAACATGGGGGTGGGTTTAGATATTTTATTGCTTAATATTCTTTGTGTGCTTCATATTTAAAGTTAGTGAAGTAATAAATAATACCATGTAAAGAGCTGCCTTATTGAGTTCAGAGTCTATGCACCACTCACCTGACTTGGGGTAAGCGACATTCACTATATCATCATCCAACAGTTGGAATTCATTTTCCACGTTGCAATCTTTAATTCAGTTCTCCATATTTCCACTTCATTTTGTGAATTTTGTGAATTTTTTTACATATTTTTTTCAAAGCACTTTCTTCTAATATAATGCACTTATATCCCCCCAAAAGTATGCCTTTTATGCACACCTTTGCCTTTTATACACATTTTGTACACGTTACTTAGCTTAAGAGCTGCATTGCAAAATTCAGAGAAGTGCAAATTTCAGAGATTGCCTATGTTTCACTTTGTAAACTTCAGAAAGTGCAAAATGTGTAACTTCCACATGTGGTGGACTTGTGCACATGTATGCAAAGTTTGGGAACATGTTTTAGAGGAAATCAAGGATATTGTGGGCACTTCAGGCTAACCTGAATTTTCCCCTTGATACTTGGTTAAAGAAGGTCGTATATAAATCACAATATTTGAAAACTCATTCGCTCATTATGAACGTATGGACTATGCAGCTACATGGTGATCATTCACGACTCACATCAAAAGCAAACTTACGGCAGGCAAGTTCCTGCAAAATATGACTTTATCTGGATTTGATTGCATTCCCGGGCTTACTATTGACCATTCCTTTATACTTCAATGGAATCATGATCTTATTATTCATAGCATATTTTTTTAATCTTTCTGCAGTAACCATTCTCCCACTGTGCATGATTTTCTTTCTTAAGTTGTGAACCATATTATGCCAAACAGGAAAGCCACTGTTCTTTTCTGGATCTCTCAAACATTTGTACAGTATGTAACAAAATATAATAATAATAAATCACTGAACTTTCTGACAGTAAGAGCTGTTTGACAGTGGAACAGACTCCCTTGGGAAGTAATGGGCTCTCCTTCCTTGGAGGTTTATAAGCAGAGGTTGGATAGCCATCTGTCATGGATGCTTTAGTTGAGATTCCTGCATTGCAGGGGGTGGCTCAGGATCCCTTCCAACTCTATGATTCTATATTATTCTTTGTGTGTTTAATGTTTAAAGTTAGTGAAGTAATAACTATTACTATCTAATCTGATGACTCACTAAATTCACTAAATTCAGTCTATTTACCTAATTGCACCACTGACCTGATTTGGGGTAAGTAACGTTCACTACGCGGGTGGCGCTGTGGTTAAGAGCCTCAGCGCCTAGGGCTTGCCGATCGAAAGGTCGGCGGTTCGAATCCCTGCGGCGGGGTGCACTCCCGTTGCTCGGTCCCAGCGCCTGCCCACCTAGCAGTTCGAAAGCACCCCCGGGTGCAAGTAGATAAATAGGGACCGCTTACTAGCGGGAAGGTAAACGGCGTTTCCGTGTGCTGCGCTGGCTCACCAGATGCAGCTTGTTACGCTGGCCACGTGACCCGGAAAGTGTCTCCGGACAGCGCTGGCCCCCGGCCTCTTAAGTGAGATGGACGCACAACCCTAGAGTCTGTCAAGACTGGCCCGTACGGGCAGGGGTACCTTTAGCTTTACCTTTAACGTTCACTATATCATCATCCAACAGTTGGAATTCATTTTCCACATAGCTGAGTGTTTCTATTGAGTGCAACTGTTGAGTAAAAAGGATCCCCTTGTATTTGAAATAAGTCATTGATGACACTGAAAAACTGGAGATGAGAGAAATTATGTCACATCCTTACGGATTTTCAGGTAGCTACCGTTTTAGAGCCAAACTCTGGGGATAGCTGGGGAGCAGGAGAAAGGGGAGAGTTCAGGAGGTGGCGATGGGCCTTCAATAGATTCTCAAGTAGTGTCACCAGTCCGGGTGGTGACACCTGGCCAAGGAACTCAGTTATGAGTGCACATCATATCAGGCTTTCATCTCTCAGTCAGATCATGGGCACAAGTTGTCACACAATTAACTCAAATCACCTCCACTTCCCATTAGGAAATAGGCCCAAATTGCATCCTCTCACTCACTGCCACTATGCATCAACTGAAGGAAAATCGCTTTAAACAAAGAAGAGAATGCAGCAGCATAGTCACACCTGCCAAAAGCAAGGCACACACACCCCCATCCACACACATGCATAACTGCTTCTGGGCCTACTCTCATAGGGTGAGTTGGGGCTATTTACCTGAAGTGCAAAATAATCTTTGATCTTCCCTACTTCTGCCAATAGGAGGCCAGCTGAGGCAAACTTTTCCCTCAGTTTGGAACCTTTGATACGCATTTATTGATTTAAAGCATTTCACATGCTCAGCAGTTGAAAACATTTCCCGAACAGCTATACATGACAGCAGCAAAGCAAAGCAAACAGTCCCCACCCACAGCCTTAAAATCTTGAAATACAATCTGAAAGGGGAAGGGGAAAGGTCAAGAGGGAGCAGGAAGAAAACCTGTTCGTGAAAATTTCAAAGATCTGAAACTGATAACCAGATTGCATGGGATCTATTTGGGAAGAAGAGAAATAAAAGGAAGCGGGTCTCTTGACAGAGACACTGCTCTCCCTTCTCTCTCACTGCTGCAAACAGGTGGAGGACTGCCGATAGCAGACAGTTCAGGGAGGAGAGGAGCCAGGAGGTGCAGCAGAGCTGGTGAATGGACCTACTGTCACTTGTATCTCCCTCTGCTGCAGTCATTTATAGAATATTGAAGTTAATTTGAAACCTTCTGGAAACCATGGTACTGCCCCCCAATAAATGTAGAAGTGATCACACACACACATGTCGTGATTTATGATATATTGCCAGGTCAAATATTATGAAATCAATATCACGAAACGTTTTGGACAGTGTACCAATACATTGCCCAGCCTGAGTCACAACCTGATTTGGCCTAAGCCTGGATCTCTTCCCCCACCGTTGCTGGGAAATTCCAGAATCAGACTGGAATTCAACTTGTATGCCAGCTGAGAATAGCTTTCCCCCCAGTCTATAGTCTGTTATATGCATCTTATCAGCACCAACCATGGTCGTCCCTGGCAGGGGTACCCTTACCAATGTAGTCCATGTAACTTTGAAGCAAGAATACTGTAATGAGCGCTTTGTGGGGCTGCCCTTGAGTCTGGTTAGGAAGCTCCAGCTAGTGCAGAATGATGTGACCAGATTGCTGCTGCGCAGACCAAGAGTAGGCTGGGATAGAGTGAATCATTATGGTACCCCATTCTCTGGCAAATTGATGCATGCTGTGAGTTGCAAAAAGAAACGTGGCCCGGCACAATCTCTCTGGGGTTTGGGCAAAACCTGCTTTAAGCTTTGCCACTGTGGTGGAGACTGATTTGTCTCTGCTGATAAACTACAGGGAGCAAAGAGGGACATTTTGTTGCATTCCAGCATGTGTTAAATGAAAACACCATAGCATCCAACATTTCCCAACCCAAATCCAGGACACACACATTCAGGTCTCCTTGGCCCAGCCTGCTGTCTTGGGCCTGTCAGTATTGCCCTTGAGCCAGTGCCACCGACTGGACTCATCCACTTCAGCCCCGACTGGGCCAGGCGAGCTGGGTAGCACTTCCAGAGACCACCTTCTACACAGGAACAGGTCAAAGTGCTGTGGACTCACAGCTTAGAGTTGTGAGCACCGGATTCACTCCAACAGGAAGACAGTCGTCGCACAGCAGAGTATAGCAGAGTACAGCAGAGCATAAACGACTCAGAGAGCAGCTCTGTAGAATATCTTCTTTATTCTATCTACAACTATAATACACAACTATGTACAGAGCTAAATGAGGTCTAAACGAAAATGCTGAACTGCACTGAGTGTCTGCAGCTGCTCTTAGCAGCAACCTTATCTATACACACGATCTCTCTCTAACACTCAGTCTCTCTCTCTCTCTTTGATGTGAGGCTGGAGCAGAATAAGTAGAGAGCAGAAACTGCCCCCTCCTCTCTGGAGAATCAGCAGAGAACATCAGCAGATTCTTGGATATGGGAGGGGTGAAATCTCCTCAGGGCCCACTGGCTTACTTTCACTGTCTCTCCTCCATTGCTGCTGCCATGACGATGCCAAGGCTGCTGCCACCACAAGACCTCAATTGAGGCCCACCACGGCCACTGATGTACTTCCAGAAGCCAGCGCCACACTTCTGGAAGTGCAATTTGAAGTGCAGCCCAGCTTCTAGAAGTACGTCTGCGGCCACAGCAGGCCTCAGTGGAGGACTTGCAGTCGAGGCCTTGCCTTCCTGCAGCAGAGGAGGAGCCGGGGCACCTTCTGTTAAGCTGGAATCTCTTGCTCAAAGGAGGACAGTTGGCAGGTATGAAAACACACATGTAAAAAAATTTAATTTAGAGCAACAGCACTATTCCAGATCCAGTATCTGTTTATTTAGCAGAAGGTACCCAAAACATATTATGGTGCTGGAGGAGACTCTTGAGAGTCCCATGGACTGCAAGAAGAACAAACCTATCCATTCTTAAGGAAATCAGCCCTGAGTTCTCACTGGAAGGACAGATCCTGAAGCTGAGGCTCCAATACTTTGGCCACCTCATGAGAAGAGAAGACTCCCTGGAAAAGACCCTGATGTTGGGAAAGATGGAAGGCACAAGGAGAAGGGGACGGCAGAGGACAAGATGGTTGGACAGTGTTCTCGAAGCTACCAGCATGAGTTTGACCAAACTGCGGGAGGCAGTGGAAGACAGAAGTGCCTGGCGTGCTCTGGTCCATGGGGTCACGAAGAGTCGGACACGACTAAACGACTAAACAACAACAACAACAACACCCAAAACATATCAAACATAAGAATGTGAAGGTGGAGAACAGCAGGAACAATGTTCTGTGATTCTTCATTCCCAAGGGAAGGTCATATTCACACCATGCATGTTCTCCCAGTAAACATGGTCGAAGTATTCGCTCTGCACCACTATCAGGAGGTTCTTCCAGTCCCCGGAGATCTCTAGAACAAGACAAGAGCAAGTGGCAACCAAAAAGAATTTCACCTGAAATTGCTTCAACTTAAATTAGAACTTTTCTTCCTCGTACTCAGGCATGTGGCAGCTCAGGTAGCTGATGTTAGGGGAGAAAGAACATGCCCCCTGACTGTTTGCTCTGTACCCCTCCCCAGCCATTCCCACCCTCCTGATTTGGCTTTCCAGCAGCACTAATGCATGCATGTTGGGTACCTGGACCAGCTGGGTGTCTCATCCAGACATGCTTTCTTATTGCACCACAGACATCTCCATGAACTGTGTGTCTGTTGCTCTGCCTGCTGAATTTCTGCTTGCTTTCCAAATACTGTAGATGTGAAAGGCACAGAACCTGCCAAATCTAGCAAAAACAACCCTGAGGCAACTACTGTGTCTTGATTGCCTGGAGAATCAGGAACTTATTTTCAGGGAGTCCCCAGAATTATCGAGGTCTCAAAATCGTGCAGGCACACCCTTCTTCTCCAGACTGCCTGTTTCAGAATTATTTCTTATTTTGATCTGGACTTTCATGAAATAGATAGACTTAGGTGGAATGTTGCACAGTGAGAAAGGTATACAATCCTGCAAACTGTGCCCATTTTCTAGACCTTCAAACTGTGTTCACAGTCATCTCTGACTCCACACTATTGACTGGTTTCTGATTGCCTTTTTCTGTGTGGCATCAAACAGAAAAACAGAAATAGAAGAGGTTATTCACCCCTGGTATGCAGCATTGTTGCCTTATTCCTTGGCACTCCGTGGCAACCAATGTTTTTACCTTTCCTCATGAACTTTGATTTTGTGCTCTCGGGTATTAAAGAAAAGTTGGACATCTTGTTGTCCTTCATCTTCTGGAAGGAGGCGTTTTCCACCACAGACTCAATTTGTTGGCTGTTTAGCTCCTTGCCAAGAAAATGACAGATCTTCTGCATGCTGCCTCAAAGGTCCTGCAGAAAGCAAAAGCAAATGGCTGTGAATCCTCATGTGATGCAGAGAGCTTGCCCTTCATCAGGAGGCAAACAAGAGTGGCTGATTTGCCTCCTTCCATACTTTCCCCACTCAGGAATCTCTCCATGAACTCTTCCACAGTTCCAGGGTCCTTCAATACTTTAAAGCCTTTGATGAAGTGGTACCTTGAAACCATAGCATCTCTGGGGTTACGCAGAGTATAGACTACCTGTAACAGAGGAAGAGCTATATTGAAGGAGGGCCCAGGCAGCCCAACACTATTAATAGGCAGAGTGTGGCAGCAAACTGAAGGCATGATAAATAAAACCTGACATGGGAACGAGGGAAGCCTCCAGTGAGGGCCTGGGCTGACCATGCATGTGGACCACAAGTTCTTCCACAATCAGGAAACTGCTAAGGAGATTCCCAATATTCCTCCCCATTCTCTAATGCAAAATATAGCATCCTCCTGTAAAGAGGCTGTGTCAAGTGTTCCAGAATCCCCCACATCTATGAGAGAGAGAGAGAGAGAGAGAGAGAGAGAGAGAGAGAGAGATTATGCCACATCCTTAGGGACATTCAGGTAGCTACTGTTCTAGAGCCAAATTCCGGGGATAACTGGGGGCAGGGGAGAGGTGGTGGTGGGCCATCAGTAGATGCTCAAGTGGTACCACCAGGTGTGGTGGAAAAAAATTCAAGAAACTCAATTCTGAATACATGTCATATCTGGCAGCGCTGGGTCAGATACTGGTCAGCACGAAGAGGCAGAGTCCGTTGTCAGTGAAATTAATGCTTTATTCAAGGAAATGGCAACTCAACAATTTTTCCAGGTCAGTCTTTCCCATATAGAGCTGTTGTCTGGACTGAATGTCCCTTTCTTGCACACTTTCTAAGGCACCTCCTCTCCCGGATGTTGCCCAAGCAGTCTCCAACTGTCTATGTTCATCTCTGGTCTCTTCTTTTCCTCTCCTCATGATCTTGCATGTTCTTTGAGATCGGGATACAAGAGGAGCTTCTTGCAGCCAGAGAGGGCCATTTCCATGATTCTTCAGCAGCTCATCATTCAGATCTGCTTCCCCAGGGAATTCCCAGCAGAAACTTTGGAGCTGATGAAACTGGTTCCTGCCAGTGGTGCAAAAATCACTGTGTGTACTTCTCACCCGCAGGATAAAGGCAATTTGGGGGGGAGGGGTGCACAATTAAGCTCCTTGCCAAGGGCACAAGGGAACCTAGTTACGCCACTGATTCCCTGCGTGGAACATCCTAGCAAAGCAGACCCCTCAGGCTCCCCACCCAACGCCACGTCCTGTAACAGGCCTGGATCTCTCTGATATCCTGGGCTGCCTCAACCAGACTCAGCCTAAGCACAGATCCCTGCCCCCCCCCCCCCCCCGTCACTGGAATAGGCCTGAATCAGTCTGCAATTCAACTTGTGAAGAACTTTCCACCACTGGCAGCCTCTTCTCTTCTTTTTCTTCTGGTCTTTGCTCTTCCCACTTTTCTTCAAGCAGCATGCCAGCTGAGAATAGCTTTTGCCCCAGTCTGTAGCACGACCACTGTAGTTCATGCACTGGTACTCTTGAGGCTAGATTACTGTAATGTGTTCCTTGTGGGGCTGCCCGTGGGTCTGGTTCGGAAACTCCAGCTACTGCAGAATGCTGCAGCCATATTGCTAACGGGAGCTTCTGGTTGAGAACATGTGACCCCACTGTTAAAACAGCTGCACTGGCTGCTCATCTGCTACTGAGCCAGGTTCAAGCTACTTGCATTGATTTACAAAGGAGCATCTTCAGTTGTCCCCCATGTTGATGTGTCTCATTAGAAAACAAGAAACCGAGCTTTCAGTGTCATAGGCCTTGCCCTGTGGAACCCCTTGCCAACAGAGATTCAGCGGGAGCCTTCTGTACCACCTTTTAAACGCCTGCTTGAAAATTCTCTGTTGTGCCAGGCCAGTGCAGGCCATTAAGAGTACATCTCCCACTATGGTCTGTTGCTGTTTTTAATTATTTTTTGTTTGTTTTTTAAATTGTTCTTAGCTTTTTGTGATTTTACTGTTTAGTTTTATGATACAGTGGTATATAAATATTTTTATGAATGAACAGATAAATATTCATTTACCCAGTCTCTAACCTATTATATAAATTTATTCATTTTACCCTGCACTTTAGCATCCAAAGAGGAAGTTTTCTAAGAGCAGTCCATACATTTTTAAAAAGAACACGAACAGGGAAGGCATCTGAGGATGAGCCGTCATATTGGACGGTGCTGGGCATGTTATCATGGAAGGAGGAAATCATCTCATGAAGCTTCCGTGGGCATCCTATCTTGAGCAGTGTGAAGAGTACTTTTTGGTTGACGAGGTTGGAGGCCATCGTCAGGTCTATGAAGGCGATGTTCAAGGGGCATCTTGGTCTCAGCATTTCTCCTGCAGCTGCTGCAGAAGGACCTCGAAGCTCTAAAGACACTTTGTGATTTGTTCAAAAAATAAAGAACAACTGTTCCATTCCTGATCAGGTATGTTTATTAGCACAGTGGTAGCAGAAACTAGCCAAACCATATGATACATAAGAATGTGGAGAACATCAGGAGCAACAATCTGGGATTCTTCATTCCCAAGGGAAAGTCATATTCACACCACGCATGTTCTCCCAGTAAACACGGTCAAAGCGTTCACTCTGTGCCACTGTCAGGTGGTTCTTCCAGTCCCCGCAGATCCCTAGAACAAGACAATAGCAAGTGGAAACCAGAAAGATGTTCACCTGAAATTACTTCAACTTAAATTGGGACATGTCTTCTTTGTCCTCAGCTGTGAGGCAGGCAACCCCTCAGGTAGCTGATGTTATTGGAGAAATAACATGCCCCCTGACTGTTTACCCTGAGCCCCTCCCCAACCATTCCCACCCTCCTGATCTGGCTTTCCAGCAGCTCTAATGCATGCCTGTTGGGTACCTGGACCAGCTGGGTGTCTCATCCAGCCATGCTTTCTTATTGCACCCCAGAGATCTCCATGAACCGTGTGTCTGTTGCTCTGCCTGCTGAATTTCTGCTTGCTTTCCAAATTGATGTGAAAGGAACAGAATCTGACAAATCTAGCATAAACAACTCTGAGGCAACTACTGTGTCTTGATGGCCTGGAGAAACTGCAACCTGTTTTCAGGGAGTCCCAGCATTATCCAGGTCTCAAAATCGTGCAGACACACCCTTTTCTCCAGACTGCCTCTTTCAGAATAATTCCTTATTTTGATCTGGACTTTCATGAAATAGATAGACTTAGATGGGATGTTGCACAGAGAGGAAGGTATACAATCCTGCAAACTGTACCCCTTTCTGGACCTGCAAACTGTGTTCACAGTCATCTCTGACTCTATAATCTATTGACTGGTTGCTGATAGACTTTTTCTGTATGGCATCAAACATCCACAGAAAAAGAATAGGTTCTTCACCCCTAGCATGCAGCATTATGGCTTTATTCCTTGGCACTCCATGGCACCAATGTTTTACCTTCCTCAAGAGTTTTGCTTTTGTCTGGTCAAAAATGTTCTCTGGTGTTAAGGAAAAGTTGGACATCTTGTTGTCCTTCATCTTGTGGAAAGAGGCGTTTTCCACCACAGAGTCAATTTGTTGGCTGTTCAGCTCCTTGCCAAGAAAATGACAGATCTTCTGCACGCTGCCTCGAAGGTCCCTGCAGAAAGCAAAAGGAAATGGCTGTGAATCCTCATGTGATGTAGAGAGCTTGCCCTTCATCAGGAGGCACACAGAGAGCATGAGGACCAGTATGCAATGTGCACTGGTAAGATGGATGCCTTGAAGATGTGGAATTTTCTGTCATCACCGTGCAGAAGCCACTGTGTCTCCACCTGCCCCTCAGCCAGAAAAGCACCAATGGGGCATCTGAGTCAGCAAGAGACATTGCTTTTGAGGCAGAAAAGCAGGTTATTGGCACATCTGCTCTCATGTAGAAGAAAGGAAATGTACTCTGCACATGATATGCAGTGTACGTAGAGGTAGCAACAAATTTTGCACATGTTCGGGAATCCTCTTCTGGACAATATTACAAGAATCTTTTTTAATTTTTAAAGGGAGCTTCATGGTGTGAATAATGTTAAAATTGGGGCAGCAGGTCAACACAGTTAAAAACTGGACCTTTACCTGCTTTAGTTCTCATAGGTGTTGAAGAAGATGTTGGCTCTGTCCTTCATCTCCACCCAGCCTTTCACATGGGTCAAACCAGGAACCATAAGCCACTGGAAGAGCATAGAGGAAGCAAGGGTGAAATGTAAGGCGTTATTGGGGGGGGAGTAGAGAATGCTGTTGTAGACCATAAACACCATTCAGGAACCTAGAAAATAACTGCATTTTTCCCTTAAAAACAAAATCAGTAACAATAAGACTTCAACGCTACCCTGGGTCCAATGCAACCTACTGACTGCTCCTATGTACTGACATTTTCCACATACAAGAGAAGTAAAGCTTTGAATGAGTAGATAATCTTACGCTTTATGGGCTTTCTCCATTAAGGTTTCTTTTTCTTTCTGCCACCAGTGAGAATGTCTGCTATCATCAATTCTGATCTGTTCTCTTGTTGGCGCCAATCTCACCCAGCTGTTAAGGACTTTCCTTAAGTTTCACCCTCTTTCTCATTTTGGTGCCAATCTCACCCATCTGAAAGGACGTTTATTTGATTTTCTTTGAAAAGCAAAATAACAAATGTAGGACCTTCCCTGCAATTTCCCCTTCTCCGATGTATCCAACTGGGAATTATAGTTCTCTGATAGGACTGTAGAGTTATGTAAAAATAAATACTTTCTGGTGGTGGACATCACTGGTGCTGGGTCACAGCAAACAAGAGTGGCTGATTTGCCTCCTTCCATACCTTCCCCACTCAGGAAACTCTCCATAAATTCTTCCATAGTTCCAAGGTCCTTCAATTCTTTAAAGCCTTTGATGAAGTGGTAGACTGAAACCATGGCATCTCTGGGGTCACGCAGAGTATAAACTACCTGTTACAAAGACAGGGACCCATTTAGGGAGAGCCCAGGCAGCCCTACCCTAACATTAGGCAGGGTGTGGCAGCAAACTGAAAGCACAATAAATAAAGCCTGACATGGAAACAGGAGAAGCCTGCAGTGAGGACCTGGGCTGAGCATGCATGTGGACCATGGCCAGTTCAATTTCTCGAGCAATCATGAAACTGCTAAGGAGATTTCTGATATTCCTCTTTATCCTCTAGTACAAAATATGGTACCCTCCTAAAAATGAGCTGTGCCAAGTGTTTGTGCTCCAATATCCCACACATCTGTGTGTCAGAAACACAGAAGCCAAAGACAGGCTTGATGTGTCCGTCGTTCCTCTCTCACCTTGGTCCTGGAGTGGAGGAAGGACTTGGGGAAAAGGTGGAATGGCAGGTGAGTAGTCAGGATCCTGGGGGAAGGGTTTTTCAAGGCAATCTGCAAATGATCGGCATACTCAATGCAGGGTGCCCTTTCCGTCAGTGGTACATTCTGAACCCATGTGGGGTCCCCTTGACTCCGGATTAAGCTCAAGATCTCCGACATCCAATGAGTACCTAGGAGAAAGTCCACCAGTCAGAGGCTTCTTCTATCAAACCACCTGTACATTAATGTCTGGCCCTTGCTAAATCAAATGGAGAAACTTAAACAATCGAATGGATCTTTGTCCCCTGCTAGCTATTCAGCATCCTCCTATGGGCAAGATTCCCCACATCAGGGATGGTATACAGTTGTGAAGTTGACTATATTATTTAGCTAAGTCGTTGCACAGATGACAACAGCTCAAATCTGCTTGATCAGGCCAATGGCCTATCCTGTCCAGCTCCCTGTTTCTCCCAAAAGCCTGTGGGAAACCGTAGAGCAGAACATGGGCTCAAGAGCATTCTCCCCTCCTGTGGTTACCAGACAGTAGTATTTGGTAGCATTACTGCCTCAACTGTGGAGGCAGAGCACAGCCATCATGGCTAGTAGCCACTAATAGCCTGCTCCATGAATCTGTCTCCTCCTCTTATGTGCTCCATCATGCATCACTTTACACTTGTTTACATTGACTTGCCTTTGCCATTTTGCTGACCATGTATTTTTAGTGTCAGCAAACCTGGCCACCTCACTACTTGATCATTTATGAACAAATTAAAAAGCACAGGTCCCAATACCAACTCCCAAGAAATGGGTCCTTTCTAAGGGAATGCCTCCCTCTTCTTCAAAGTGATGTTCTCCTTTCTCAGGACCTTTGTTCTACCTGGCGGCAGGAGAGCTGTCATTGTGGGAAGGTCACCCAGCTACCACATCCCTGAAGGCCTCATCCACCACTTTCTCTGCCTCCTACTCTTTCTAGTTCTGCCACCTTGGCCTCAAGGGAAGGAACTTGTTCCCAGAGGAACAGAATCTCATGGCACCTCTGACATACACATGACTTCTGTGCCATGGGGAGATATTCATACAATTGGCAGAGGGTGCAAAACAATGCAAAACCCCCACACCCCTGCTGGTTTTGATAATTTGCTTCTTTTAATTTAGTTACCCATTGACTTTCCTGCTTGCTAGATTTCTGTTTTCTTGTGCAGTTCTTAGTCTAGTTTACTGTGGTTCCCTGAATTGTCCTGCTAGGTAGCTTTTCTATAGACTTCTTAGCCCTAGGATTTAGCTCCTGTGTTGTGGGTTTTCACAGGATTTTTATCCTGGTGGACAGCCACCTTACTGTGCCCTTGTCAATCCAAGTTGCTTTAATTCAATCATTAAGTTAAGTGGGTGTTATTTATGAGGACTATAACAGACAGATGGCATATCAACGTTTAGATATGGTTATCCTGACACAGCATCAGAGACAACTTTTGTAATATGGTGCCTTGAGCAAGGACAAAAAATTCCCCTCCCCCCAAAAAATTATTTTCACAATAATACATTCAGGTACAGTTGCTTTTTTAATAAATCTTCTCAGTAGGTAACCAAATTAATATAGGTTTCATTATGATTATGATTGTGATTATGCACCCCCTCGGCTTGGCACCCCATGCAAGGAAATCACCCACACCGCCCATATCCAGCACCAAAAGCGTTCCTAGTGACATGGCAGAAGCATGCCATAACATATAAGATTCTCCTGGGAATATTCTCAGTTCAGCTCACGAGCGCTGTAAATATCTAGGTTCAAATATCCCAGAAAGAAATAAAGATTTGAAAATCTCTCTTATTTTTTTGCAAGGTTTCCAGACATCCCCATGAATTTCAAATGTTCTTTCACTTCTTTCTGTGAACATCAACAATGGCTAGGGATGGTGTAATACGTCTATTTTAATTTCTCCTTTTTGCAATCTTACATTTAATTCTCCATATTTCCATGTCAGTTTGTGAATTTTCTTGCACATTTCTACAAAGCATTTTCCATTACTATAATAAATTTTTATTCA